CCGTTACTCCTCATTCCACGAGGAGTAACGGTAGTTCGAACTAGGAAGCCTAGTTCGAACTACCTAGTTCGTGCCCCGTGTAGCCGCGCTGCACGGGGTTCGAACGAGCGGGGTTTTAAAAATGGCGGCGCCCCGCTTATGCAAATGAAGCCCGGGAAATTCAAATCCCGGGCTTCATTTGCAAGTGCAGTATGCCTACATTACCCCGCTAGTTCGAACTAGCGGAGTAGTGTAGACATACCCCGAGTGACTACAATTGTGACTTGGTAAATGAGACGTTAGTACAGTAGACTTCCGATAATCCGGAACCTATGGGACCTAGGTGGTGCCAGGTTATCAGATATGCCGGACTATCAGGAGGTACTATAAGATGATTATATATATATACTGTATACATTATATACTGTATATAAAGTGTTCTTAACCCTTTTTTATTGTACATACTGTATACAGTATACTGTAATGTTTTAGTTTCTTTAAGCCTTTTTTACCCTTTTTGCTCAGTTCAGCTGCTGCTGCTGTTACCTTGTGACTCATTTTTTGCCGAAGCTCACTCACTAGGCTCTTTCCATTTTGATGCCGGACTATCAGGAGTGCCGGACTATTGGATGCCGGACTATTGGAGTTTTACTGTATTATTTATTCTAAAGTTGGGTTTGCAAATGAATCATGCAGTTTTGCTATATGATTATTATCCCAGACTCTATTTTTGACAAGTCTTTAATAGTATGTTAATTCTAAAGTATTATACTATGAAAAATATTATGGCATAAATTTCCACGAATTATGCTAATTCTTTGTATAGAGAGAATGGGTTTATTTGACAATTCAGTAACCTAAAGGGGAGAGAACATTTTACAATTACAACAAATCAGATATGCTTAAATAAATATTATTCTATATAGCATCTGGAAAGAGGAAAATTCAGTATGAATTAGAGCATTTGTTTAACACAAGGGTGGGCAATAATTTTTGATGGGGTGGGGGCAAACCTAGAACTTGGTAAGTGGTCAAGGGCTGTACTCTTCCATGATATTAATGGAGGAGGTGCAGAGTCTGGTATGGAGGTTGGATGCAGGAGAGGGTGTGGGGTCTGGGAGGAGGTATGGGTACAGGAGAAGATTCTGAGCTGGAGGAGGGTGTAGGAGGCGGTGCAAAGTCTGGGAGAGATTTGTGACCTGGAGTAAGGCTGCGGGGGTTTGGATTGTGACCTGGGGCAGGGGTACAGGAGGGATAGCCAAAGGCTGAGGGGAAGGAATGAATGAGGTACCAGTGCAGGCTCTGGCTAGGAGGCACTTCCCTGTGTGGCTCCAGGCCAGCAGCATCTTGATGTAGGCTCCCTGCCTTTCACACCACTGTATGCCCTCAAAGTGGCTGGCTGTGGGGGCCTTGTGTTCTCTGAGTGTCATGAGCCCCTGGGGAGGCGGGCATTGCAAGCATGGTCCAGCCAGCTCCCATTGGTCAGAAACCAGCCAACAGGAGCTGCAAGACTGTGCTGGGAGCAGTGGCTCATTGTGCACAGAGAACACATGGTCCCCATAGTCAGCCCCTTTGAGTCATGTGTGGGGACATGGAAAGCAGAGAGCCTGCCTGAGGCTCTTACTGGGCCACAGGATGGTGGCAGCAGGCAGGATCCAGTGGTGTGGCGAGCTGGATGCAGCCTATGGGTCATGTTTTGCCTGCTCTTGACTTATTATGTTGCACCTTTGCTGTTGATAATGTGGTAGCTATGGGCAACAAATGTAATACTTCACAAATCTAGAAACTGATCTCTGAAAGTAGACATGGCAGTCTTGTTAGCAACTATTGATTTCCCTGAAAGTCTGAGAGGCAAAGATCATGATCTATTGTTTAGAACTAGTCATGTGGCACTTCTCGGAGGGTACGTCTACACAACCGGGCTAAAGCTGAATTAAGATGCACAACTTCAGCTACATCAATTGTATAACTTAAGTTGAAATAGCTTAAATTGGCTTTTGGTGCTGGCTATACAGCAGGAAGTTGAAGAACATTTCATTAGGAATAAGGGAAGTTGAAGGAAGAGTGAAGGTTACCATGAGTCAGAGTAAGAAGTCCTCTAGCTCAACATTATTTTGAAATGAAGGCTTGTAGACATGAACTATGTTATTTCAGATTAACATCAGTTATTCTGAAATAACACTGCTGTGTAGATGTACCCAGAGTTGCAAAGAGTTCCTTCCTTACTGTGCTTTGCAGGAATTTGCTATAAACTCCATATGTGTATTTATACGTATATCTTCAATGCCAGTTGGTTATTTGCTTAAATAAAGAGACCTTGAGAACAGGATTCCTAGAAGTGGGAGAACAAAATTTATTAAATTTACTTTCCTTGCAATGTTTGTACATTTCCTCTTCCCTTTTTGCAACAGCTGACTCTTCACTTTTAAAATCTGTTGGGTGCAGGGGCCGTATTTTTGTTATAGTTGTACAGTGCCTACCAAAATAAGCCTGAATCGTAAATGCAACTGTAATACACATAAATAATATCATTGTGAGAGAGACTGTACTTACATTGTTAACTTTTCCCTCCATCTTTTTAAGGTGGGCTGGTGTAGGCCCCAGCACCCCCTACAGGAGGCTAGTGGCCTTGCTGCACCCCATCCCAGCAGGAGGAGCGGAGAAGAGGTCTTCCAGATGCTATAGAGTGGCTGTCTCTGTGGCAGCCAATCAGGACCCAGCAGAGAGGTATAAAACAAGCTTCAGGGCTGGGGCTTGGCAGTTTCCTTTAGGAGCTTGACCCAGCCAGGTTTATACCCTGACTGGGAGATCAGCACTATGCCTAGCTCCCAGTGTGAGCTTAGCCCAGACCCATTGGCCAAAGACCAGCCACAAGCAGAGACTTACTAGCACTGTGGACAGGGCTAGTCAGGCCCTGGTTTCAGGACTTTGAGGGTGACTGGACAACCAGGCAAGGACCCTGCACAGCGCCAGTTGGCCACAGTGGGGTGCTCACCAGCTGGTGGACCCGTTATACTTTTCTTTTTAATTATTTTGCTGCATCTCCCCAAGTAGCCCAAATATAGTTGCTTGAGCACATTAAAATTACTCATAAACTCATGCATCTAGAAGCTATGGTGTTTGCTGATCTTCTATGGCACCTTTAAAGATTTCCCAAATCCTTTCAAGCACCAGATAATCCTCATAAAGCTGCTGTGAGCCTAGAATAGACTCCAGAGCACATGGGCTGTGTCTACATTGGCAAGATTTTGCACAAAAGCAGCCACTTTTGCGCAAAATCTTGCCGCCTGTCTACACTGGCCGCGAGTATTTGCGCAAGAACGCTGACTTTGTAATGTACACAATCAGTGGTTCTTACGCAAATACTCTGATGCTCCCGCTCAGGGATAAGCCCTCTTGCGCAAGTATTCTTGCACAAGAGGGCCAGTGTAGACAGCAACGTTAATTTCTTGCGTAAGAAAGCCCGATGGCTAAAATGGCCATCGGAGCTTTCTTGTGCAAGAGAGCGTCCACACTGGCACGGATGTTTTTGTGCAAAAGCAAATCTTTTGCGCAAAGGCACATGCCAGTATAGATGCTCTCTTGTGCAAATCCTTTAACGGAAAAACTTTTCCATTAAAAGTATTTGCGCTAAATCATGCCAGTGTAGACGCAGCCATGATGTCCAGTCGTGTTAAGTGTTGGAAAAAACCTACTTCTCTCTTGGTTACTGTAGAGAGATCTTATATCTCACAAGGAGAGAAGGATAGTGATTTAGTTTTGCAGCTTTTTTTGGAATGTGGCTGACTGCTTTTGGTTGTTGTGGTCACTCTTCCCTGCTTCAGGAGTGCTATGAAATACCTCAATGTGGTCAAGTTGCTCAATTAGCTTTATGCATCTTGCTTGATATAGTGGTATTACATGTTGGTTTGAGGCTATTAGAGGGACAAGGTAGAAGAGTTGGTATCTTTATTTTGACCAACTTCTGTTTGGTCAAGTTTACACACAGCTTTTCTTCAGGTCTGGGAAAGATCATGCATCTTGTTTAATTACTCCACTTCATATTCCTTCTGCCCCATGTGAAATGAGCTTCACTGGTCTATTAGGGTGTGTCTAGACTACATTCCTCTTTCAAAAGGAATGTAAATGAAGGAAATAGAAAATGCACATGAAGTTCAGATTTACAGATCTCACACTTCATTTGCATAATTGTGTCTGATCACTTTTTCATAAAAGGTTTTTCGAAAAAAAAAGCAGAAAAAACCCTTTTTCGAAAGAACCCTGTAAGCCTAATTTTCTCAGGAATAAGCGTTCTTTAGAAAAAGGTTTTTTTTCTGAAAGAATCGTGTCTAGACTGCTTTTTTTTTTAAATCCTTTTTCAAAAAAGCAATCGGACATGATTATGCAAATGAAGTGTGAGATTTGTAAATCTGCGCTTCATTTGCATTTTTTATTTCCTTCATTTACATTCCACTTTCAAAAGAGGAATGGAGTCTAGATGGACCCTTAGGGTAGTTAAATCCATAAATCTAAAAGCTCACAGATGACGATTCCTTACCATTTCTATCTTTCCAATGCAGTGCGATAGCATTAAGGACACAAGAGCAATCTCTGGAAAAACAACCCAAATCTTGAACTGATTTTGCCTCTTACACTTGCTTCCCTTTGGAACTTTCTTACAAATTTCCTGAATTTGCTAAAGACTGCTTTCTTGAAATCCTTTATTTTTATTGTGCTGTTTTTCATCCTACCATTCTTTGAAATCATGAACACTACCACTTCACAATCCCTTTCAACTAAGCTGTCTTCTGCTTTCAGAGTCTCAACCTGTGCCTTCCTCTGTCAAAATCAAATCTAGAATAGCCCCTCCCCAGTAGCTTTCTCCATCTTCTGAAATACAAAATTGTCTCCAATACATTCCAAGAACTTGTTGGACAATCTGTGCCCTGCTGTGGTTATTTTCCCCCCACAGATGTATGGATAGTTGATGTCCTCCATCACCACCGTGTCTTGTGCTTTTGGGTGATTTTGTTAGCTGAGAAGAAAAAGAAGCTTCATTTACTTTTTCCCTTGTTAGGTGATCTGTAATAGAGCCCTACCATCACATCATCCTTGTGTTTTTTGCCCCTTTACTCCCTGAAGAATCTTCAAGAAAACAAACTGTTCATAGGTCACCAGATTTCCCTACCGCTAGTCACAAATAGTGTCATTTTTGTGCTGGTTTGTTTGTCCTGAGGAATAGATTAATTAGTGCTAAATGAAGTTAAAAAGACATTGAAATATTTCAACTATGTAACAGTGGAGTGGGAAAATATCACACCATGTGACATTTTAGAATTCTGAACTGAGCAAAATAGTTTTCCTAGACTTTCATGGGAGCTAATTATAAAAATGGTCTCAGCTTTGCCGCTGTTTTTCAGCTGCTATTTTTCCACTTTCAAATAACAGAATCTAATCTAATTTTTCCCTCAACAATTTTTGCAAGTGTCAATTCCATCACAAACATCTTGCTAACCGATCTATAGGCACAATCAGGTGAGAGGTATGAACAATCTGTGCATGCAAGCAAAATTAACTGCAGAAGCAATTTATTGTGGGAGCAAAATTACACCCACAAATATGGGCTGCTTTTTATAAAATCAATCCCATAAATATACATACATCTATTAAGGTTAAGAAATTGCAGTGAAAGGCACAATTTGATTACTAGTGATACTTGGCTTCCTCACAAAGCCATGCACAAGATTACATGGAAATCACCAGATGGCCAAACCAAAAAAGCAGACTCAGTATCAGTAAAAAGCATAGAAGATGGTCACTATTAAATGTTAGTCTATAGAGGGGCCACATGATAGTGATTATGATCTACAAATGCAAAAGATTAAGATTAAAGTGCAACTGGAGACAAATTTGATCATGATAAATTAAAGGTAGGAATACAAAGTGATCCCTGGAGAACATTTCAGTCCATTGATTTGTGACACCATATTACAGATCAGCTAGAAAATATTTATGGAAGGAACACAAAACACAGTGGAGGAACTTTTTGGAGGGGGTAAATTAAAAAAAAAAGAAAAGCTGAACGAGCATTGAAACAAGGTTCCTACAGAAGAGGTATAAATAAACCAAGACTGCTGGGAAAGTAGAAGTAGTAAAATCATTGGCTGTGTCTAGACTGCATCCCTTTTTCATAAAATGGATGCAAATTAGACACATCGCAATTGAAAATCCCTTATCCATTTTAAGGGATAAGGGATCTTTCGGAAAAAGCTTTATTTTCCGAAAGATCCGCGTCTAGACTGGTGCTTTTTTCCGGCAAAGCTCCGAGACGGAAAAAAGCGGCAGCCATTTTTATGCTAATGAAGCGGGGGGGGGGGATTTAAATCCCCGCTTCATTTGCAATTGCGATATGTCTAATTTGCATCCCTTTTACGAAAAAGGGATGCAGTCTAGACACAGCCATTATGTAAGTCAATGAAGAAATTATAAAGACTGGACAAGCCTTATGTAAAAAGGCTCAGCAATTAGAGGAGGTGTGACAATAACAATATATAACCAATATACAAAAAGGCTAATTGAAACATAATCAGGCCAGGGATAATGGTTTTTAAAAAGGCTACCAGTGAACTGATGACAAATTCTGAAGAGAGTTTTGACAAAGAGCTGAATCTTGCAGTTTATCTAGATTGTGGTGAGCAATAATTTTTGATGTGGGGCCACTCCAAGAATTTGAAAAGTGGTTGAGGCTGCACTTTTCCAAAATATGAATGGAGGAGGTGCAGGGTCTGGGATGGAGATTAGGTGCAGAAGGGAGTTTGGGGTAAGGGAAGGAGTTTGAGTGAAGGAGGCAGTTGTGACCTGGGGTACTAGACTAGAGCGCAGGGGCTTGGACTGTGACCTAGGGCAGGGAATTGGGATACAGGAGGTGGTGCAGGAGTTTGGGTTGTGAGCTATGGTAGGAGGGGACTGTGATCTGGGGGAGGGGATTGGGGTGCTGGATCTGAGAGGAGTAAGGGTGCAGACGATTTGGGTATGTAGAGTAGAGCAGCAGGAGTGGGGGGCAGAGGCTTGGGGAAGGGATGAATTGGGTGCCAGAGGCAGCCTTTGGCCAGGAGACTTACCAGCCAGCAGCTCATCCCTGAATCAGTCTCCCTGCCTGCCCTGATCCCCACCCCCACACAGGCTGCAGCCATGTGCTCTGTGAATAAGTATGAGCCCCTTGTGCTTCGTGTCTGCCTGTTATTGAAACAGGCAGCCCCCACTGGCCAGTTTCTGGCCAGAAGCTGGCCAATGGGATTGTGCTGTGGGGCAGGAGCGGCTCCTAAAACTTCCCCCTCCCCTGTGGGCTCAGTTTTTAAAGTGAAACTATGTCACAGCCGTGTTTCTGAGCAGTGTGCATGTGGGGCAAGACATGTGGGGGGCGTGCCTGCTTAGGGCTCCCCATAGTTTGCGGGCTGGATCCAGTGGCTTGGTGGGCCAAATCCAGCCCATGGGCAATATTTTGCCCTGGCCTGATCTAGAGTAAAGCACTTTAGACAAGCATGATGAACATAATAGCTTATATGGCACAATGGATATCAGCACTGAACCATTGTTGAAAGAATAGACACAGTAAAGCAGCTAAAAAAAGAGAGGAAAACTGCAGGAACAGCCCATATAAAAGCTGAGTTATCAGCAGTTTAAGGTCTATCAAAGCATTAGAGAAAATGTACAAGACGGTATGGGAGCAAGAGAAAGTAACAGATTAT